ATTTTTACCTATGCAGAGAAGAAGGAAATTTATGAAGATATAAACAACTTATTTTTGTGAGCAAGATTGAATTCTTGGTTCACTAGAAGTGTCAGCTTCTGTCCTTGTCAACTCCAGTTTCTTACAGCTGAATCCACCAAAGACTTCCTATCTGGAGATTCAGGCCCATCCTTGTTTCACAGAACTCCTTTCAAGTGTACAAAGTTTACCAACCTCTGCCTCACTTGCTTAAGAAATTTAAAATTAAATTTTCCTGCTTATACAAAGTACTCAGTGGTCTATCTGTGACTACCTACTTCTGTGTATTCTTCCAAGCTTCAGTGTTCTCTCTATTGACCCATCTCTTCATATTTTAACAAGAAGTTGAAAGTATCTTTTAGTGCTTTGTTTTTAGTTAATTTACCTAATGACTTAATACTAAAAATCCTCCCCTGAACCTTTACCAGTATTGGGGATCTTCTGACTTTGCTTTAACTTCTTTTGCCAATCTACCTTGGGGCAGGGTCTTACTTCCCCTGATCTGTTTATCTGCACGCAGTTGTCCTGCCACATACAGATAAATGCTTTTCCTCCACTGTTACACTGTCTTACTTCCAACCTAGATCAGTTAAATTTCTTAAAGCAAGTTCCATATTCTGGCCCTGGTGATTGATTACATGAACCTCACCACTGAGTTTTAATACTTTTTAGGTATTCTGCCTTAGAATGCCTGTTTACCAAATGAGATTTGATAGCTGGGTTCAATATTTTTAATGTAGTACAAGCTGTGAACATTTTATGGACAGAATTCAAAGATCAGTTGTTTCTCATCAAAATAAAGAAATGAAATTAAATAAGTGGTTAAATGGGTTAAATATGGGTTTTCACCTTATTACTCAATGATGGCCTTGTTAATAAGAGTTGGGAATAAACCATGTTCATGGATGGCTTAATATATCAGAGTATAACAAGTAAAACTTCCCTTGTAGTCTATGTGTAAAGACTGCCAATATAAATTTTGTTATGAAAATCTGTTATTTGATGTTTTATCCAGTGCTTTTATTACCAAATACGTTTTTCTAATCCTGAGACACGAGTGTAACATTGATGTCTCTCCTGTGGTTACTTCTCAGCATCACAGAACATGTTCTGCTACTGGGAGTTTAATTCATCCTAGCCTGAGACACTTCTTATGGGTTACTTTCTTTGTAGCTCCCTGTATAATAGCTGATTTTCACCTTTTAACATTTTTTTTTCCTCCCTGTACTTCCAACCCCAGAATTGCTGTTGCAGTGTCTGTTCCTTTAGAGAAAACTGTTAGTTCTTGTCCTTTCTGTTATTTTTAAAGTAGTATGTGATATATTGGTGGGTCTCATGAAAACTAAAAACCCAGTTACAAATGTAGCATAAAGATAAATGGAACCAAATTTTGGGCCTGGGTATGAGATGGTTGTGAGGATAGGTAGAGATTCTGTGTGGAAAATTTGACCTCTTAAGGTTACTATGCTAATAAATTAGAATCTCAAACATGAAGTTGTTAATGTATGAATAATACTGACTTACCTCAGTTAAGATGTTCAGATTGAGAGTATGAGATGAGAAGTCTGAGTCAACAAAGTAAAATGTGCCGGATTATATTAGCAAAACAAGTTAAGTGGGAGTTACCCGAAACTAGCTGCTGGGTATCATCAGTTCCTCACTGCTGGAGGTACTTTTGTAGCTATATTTGTTCCACGTTTTCAGAGTTCAGTTTAACAAATTAAAATAATTACACAAGTATAATAATTTGAGGCAGATTCTTTCAATTATGTAAACAACATTCTTCTTTAGAATTTCAAAGAATTCTAAAGAAGTCCTTTAGAATTCTTTTTATGAAGCTTCAATTTATGAAACTTACTATATCCAGATTTCTAGGAGATAATTCTCATTATCACCAAATGGTTTATTATTGTTTAACTTCTGTTAAATTTTCTGTACTCTGAATATCTAAATATTGTTTACTGTTTAACTTTTCAATATAAAGAAAAAATAATTTTCAGGTAACATGTAATGAATAAAAACATGTGATGCTAAAAACTAAGTCTTTAATTACCTGTTTGTAGTTGGCATTGATATCCGAAGCAACAACATCCTGAATCCATAAAAGGAAAAATGTACAGTTTAATCTTTTTAAAATAAATTATCTTAAAGATTAATATCATTCTAAATTACTTATCCAGAATTTTTTTTAGCTTTTTTTTTTACCCGTACATGTCAAGGAATAGAATTTATTTTATAATGTGGTCTATGTGTGTTCTAGTCTAACAAAGTATTGATTTCACACATTTAATGCATTTATATTTATAAAACAGCTTGCCTTAAATTAATAAATTGTTTTTAGTTAAGGGTATTTTTTTTTTTACCACTTCACACACACTAGGACGAATAATCAATGTGTGGCAGACAATGGTAAGTGTTGTTTAGAATTTTGGAGAGATTGGAACCCTCATTATTGCTGATGGAGATGTAAAATGGTGCAACCATGTTGGAAACATGTTTGGCAGTTTTGGCCGGGCATGGTGCTCACATCTGTAATCCCAGAACTTTGGGAGGCCGAGGCAGTTGGATCACCTGAGGTCAGGAGTTCAAGACCAGCCTGACCAACAGGGAGAAACCCTGTCTCTACAAAAAAAAAAATACAAAAGTTAGCTGGGCATGGTGGCACATGCCTGTAATCGCAACTACTCAGGAGACTGAGGCAGGAGAATCGCTTAAACCTAGGAGATGGACTTTGCGGTGAGCTGGGATCGTGCCATTATACTCCAGCCTGGACAACAAGAGCAAAACTCCATCTCAAAACAAAAAAAAAAAGTTTGGCAGTTTCTCAGAAAGTTAAAAATAGAGTGACATATGACATAGCAATTCTGTTTCTAGATATATAACCGAGAGAAATGAATTTATGTTTACACAAAAACTTGTACATAAATGTTTATGGTGGCATTATTCATCATAGCCCAAAATCAGAAACAGTCCAAACGTCCAAACTGATGATGGATAAGCAAAATGTGATATAGTTATACAATTGAATGTTATTCAGTCATAAAAAGGAATGAAATGTTGATTCATGCTACAGCATGAGTGAACCTTGAAAACATGAGAAGGCCACATATTATATGATTGCATTTATATGAAATGTTCAGAGTAAGCAAACTTTTAGAGACAAAAAGTAGATCAGTGGTTGTCAGGCCTGGATGAAGAGGAGAATGGGGAGTGAATAATGGACATAGGAATTTTTTAAGGTAATTAAAATGTTTTTAATTAGATAATGATGTGCAATTTTGTAAATAAGCTAAAAACAGATTTGTGTACTTTAAAAGAGTGAATTTTATGGGGTATGAATTACATCTCAATAAAAAATTTATCAGGTTTGCTTTTCTACATAAAAAGGAATTTTTAAATAAAACTGTAAAGAGTTTTACATAATTAATGCCAGGATTTTCCAAAAAAGTTAATCACAAAAACTGACATTCACTTTAAAGCTTCACTGTATATTAATGTGGAATGTGCGTTGTATGGCACTTCCACCAATCTGAATAAGAGAGTGCCAGACGTGAGGTAGCCCATGGTGTATATCTAATGCCCATTTTCTCTAATTATATTTTGAATATTATTTTCACTTACAGGAGTGAAATAGCCTTTAAAAAGCATTTTAAAGTTTATCTTACCTCAGAAATATCAGCTAAGAATATTATATAATAGCAGAAAGACTATTGCTGTGAAGTGTAATATAAAATTGGGTTTGAGACCCAACCTGAAGTGTACTAGCAGTGTGTTCCTGTTAAAGAAATTATTTGACCTCTCTGAGCCTCAGGTTCTTCATCTGCAAAATACCTAGCAGGTCTGTCGTAAGGATTAAATGAGATACCATAGATAAAACAGACTCTGCTCTCTGCTTCCCTGCCCTGCACATATCTCACGTTTCTTCTCCCTAGAACACTTCCCACCCCTTAACTCCTCCTGCCTTACACACACACACACACACACACACACACACACACCCTACTGAGTTAGGTCTAACAAACAGTTAGGTGTCCTTCATATATGTTCCCATTGAACTTGAACCTAGGGATTACCCTATTGAAGCACTTACCATACTCCATTGAATTTTCATGTTTATTTACCTGTTTTCCCCAGAAAACTGCCCTTTTAAAAAGCAATATTTTATCTACCGATGTATATGCACTACCTAGCATACTGACTAGCTCAATAAATATTTGAATAAATGAATTTTAATAACATCTAGCATTATACCGGGTATATAATAGCTCCCTGAAAAGACATAGTATGTCTGTATTTTGCTTTCTGTTAGAATACAGTCAACCTTAAGTATTTTCTAACTTATAATAGGTAGTGATTTATATGTTAAGTGGAAATGGTTTTTATTACTAGTTATACCTATGGAATGAAGAGAATGTTTCTTATCTGACTTGTAATAGCCTACTTGTAGGTCTGTATTTATCTTCACAGTTTACACATTACTTTTTTTTCTTGTAATGTCAAGATATATGTATATTTACTAAGTTTATTTTACTAGTGTTTTATGAATTTGTAGTTTAATGTGCATATTTCATGGCTTTCTTCTCCATCTGATATTATTTAGACTTAGGATGAAATAACAAGCTTAGAAACAATGCCATAGATTTAAGAAGACCTATGAAAAGTATAGAAATTAAATCATTCTAAACAATAGAACTGAAATTTGCTCTTGCCATTTTTTATTTTAAATGTACAAAATAATAGGAAATATTTTGGAGTGGAAGGAATGAAAATAAGGGTAGAATGGTGAAAGTTAATTGATATGCTCACTGGAATTACATATTTTCATATATATACCTATCTAAACTATTTATAAAAGCTTTGCTGAATAAATATAAATTATTAACTGCATAAATATGGGGGAGTAGAAAATGTAGAAGTTTATGTTTATATAAGTCACTAAGACTGCTTTCTGTAGAGTGGCATAACCATTCTGCTTCTTGCAGGTACAGAGAACTACAGCTTAGTACAGAAAACAAAGTAACAGAATTTCTCCATCAAAGTAAGTTAAAATCTTTTGAAAGTGAGCGTGTTCAACTTCTACAAGAGGAAACGGCAAGAAATCTCACACAGTGTCAATTGGAATGTGAAAAATATCAGAAAAAATTGGAGGTACATGTACAAGCCTTTCTTTCAACATTAGCATGGCATGTAAGCTCCCTAAGTACAAGATTATATTGAGCTTTATTTCTCCTATAGGATGTGGCACCACCCTGCACAGAAAAAAACACAAGGAAATATGTATTTTAGAAAGACGTATACTGAAAAATACTGGAATGGTTGGAAAACAAAAAAAGCAAGAAAAGATCTCATTCACAATAGCAACCAAAAATATATATGACTTGGAATATTTTTAATAAGAACAGTGCAGAATCTATATGAAGAAAACTATAGAGCTTCACTGACATATGAAATGAATTGCCATGTTTCTGGGAGGGAATGAAGTATACAGTTTTTCAGTTTTCATCAAGTAATATGATATGTTTATGTCTAATGAAATGCCAGCATATTTTTTAACTGAAAATAATTCTATAGTGCTACTGGAAGGAAAAACAAATACAGAATAGTTAATATTTTAAAAGTGCTTTTTAAAAAGAAGTAATGGAAATACGTATCACATTTTAAAGTGTGTTCTGAGGCAAGAATAATTAAATTGCACACAAAATTAGTTCACAAATGTTACAAAATGTAAAGCTTCAAAACACATTTACATAAATTTAAGAATTTAGGTCGGGCGTGGTGGCTCACGCCTATAATCCCAGCACTTTGGGAGGCCGAGATGGGTGGATCACAAGGTCAAGAGATCGATACCGTCCTGGTCAACATGATGAAACCCCATCTCTACTAAAAATACAAAAACTATTTGGGCATGGTGGTGCGCGCCTGTAATCCCAGCTACTCAGGAGGCTGAGGCAGGAGAACTGCTTGAACCCAGGAGATGGAGGTTGCGGTGAGCCAAGATCGTGCCATTGCACTCCAGCAACTGGGTAAAAAGAGCGAAACTCCTTCTCAAAAAAAAAAAAATTTATACATGGTAAAGGTCATGTTTCAAATCAGTAGAGAAAGTATGGATTGCACAATAAATGATACTGTGATAACCATTTGAATATTTAGAGAAAGTAGTTGAATCAATACCTCATACCATATAGCAAAATTAAACTCAGATGGCTAAGCTACATATATATGTACATATGTACACACACACACACACACTTTTATAGCTACACACTTTTATAGCTACACAAGACACACTATATGTATAAAAGTATTAGAAGTAAATACAGATGAGCAGGTGCAGTGGCTCATGCCTGTAAATCTAGCACTTTGAGAGGCTGAAGTGGGTGGATTACCTGAGGTCAGAAGTTCGAGACCAGCATGGCCAACATAGTGAAACCCCTTCTGTACTAAAAAACCATAAAAATTAGCCAGGTTTGTTGGTGCACACCTGTAGTCCCAGCTACTTTGGGGTTCAGGTAGGGAGGATTGCTTGAGCCCAGGAAGTTGAGGCAGCAGTGAGCTGAGATCACGCCACTGCACTCTAGCCTGGGTAACAGAGCAAGACTGTCAAAAAAAAAAAACTTAAAAAGTAAATACAGATGAAATTATATCTGATGTTTACATCTGTTAATCTGATGAAAGTAAGGAAAGAAATCATAGGAAAAATAAAACCTGAATTTATTTTAAAAATATAATTTAAAGGCAAAATAGAACTGAAAAATATTTGGGTTAAATATGAGCAAGGGCTTATGTCCTTAATTTTAAAAGATATTTTATCAAGAGAACATGCCTTCCCCTTCTGCATAAATAAGTGGAAAAAAAGGAATGGGCCATTTCCAAGAAAAGAAATGCAAATTACTAATAATAAATGAAAATGTGAATTCTCACTGATAATTACAGAAATATAAATTTAAGGCTGGGCATGGTGGCTCACGCCTGTAATCCAAGCACTTTGGAGGTCAAGGCGGTGGATTATCTGAGGTCAGGAGTTCAAGACCAGCCTGACCAACATGGTGAAACCCTGACTTTAAATAAATTAAAAGAAAAAAAAAAAAAGAAATGTAAATTTAATCTTTTTTCTTACCTTTATATAGGTCTGTGTGTTGTTTTTATAGTGCTGGCAAGACCATTAAGTGGGAAATCTCATGAGTTAGAAAAAGGGAACAGCCTTTCTGGACACTATGGTAATCTACGTTAAAGGGCTTAAAAAGTTGATCCAGATTGTGAATTTTAGCTCCAGGTTCACTTCAAGAACAAACCAGCAATCCTGAAAGGACCCACCTCAAGGAAACGGACTGCACCTGCAAGGCCCGGAAGACACCCCAGATACTCTGGGAGGTAGAAAGGTTCGGACAAGTTTTCAAGCCCTGTTCGTTCTCGGCCTGGAAACAAACTGTTGCATGGGCTGTTGCATGGAACACAGTGAGAGAGAGATTAGCCCTTCAGTTTTTGTGAAAGCTGGGTGAGGCCTATGGCTGCCAGCTTTCCCCCACTTCCCTGACAACCTGCATGACTCAGCAGGCAGCCATAATCCTCCTAGGTACACAACTCCTGTGACCTGGGAATCTCACTCCCATTCCCCAAAGCAGCTATAGCAAGACCCACCAGCGAGAGTCTGAGCTCTGACACACCTAGCCCCACCCCCACCTGATGGTCCTTCCCTACCCACCCTGGTAGCAGAAGACAAAGGACATATAATCTTGGGAGATCTGGAGCCCCACCCACTGCTGGTCATTCTCCACATAGCTGATGCTTTCTGGAAAGCACCACCTCCTGGCAGGAGCCAACCAGCACAAAAATAGAGCATTAAACCTCCAAAGCTAAGAAATACCATGGAGTCCATTGTACCCTCTGCCACCTCCACCTGAATAGGTGCTGGTATCCATGATGGAGAGACTCATAGACAGTTCACATCATAAGACTCTATGCAGAAACCCCCAGTACCAGCTCAGAGCTGGTTAGACTCTGCTGGGTGGCTAGACCCAGAAGAAAGGCAACAGTCACTCCAGTTCAGTTCATAGGAAGCCACATCCACAGGAAAAGGGGGAGAGTACTACATCAAGGAAATGCCTTGTGGGACAAAAGAATCTGAACAACAGCCTTCAACTCTTGACCTTGCCTCTAACGGAGCCTACCCAAGTGAAAAGGAACCAGAAAACCAACCCTCATCAAAACAAGGCTCATCGGCACCTTCCAAAAAGTACACTAGTTCACCAGCAGTGGATCCAAACCAAGAAGAAATCCCTGATGTAACTGAATTCAGGAGGTTAGTTATTAAGCTAATAAGGGAGGAACCAGAGAAAGACAAAGCCTAGTGCAAGGAAATTCAAAAAACTATATAAGAAGTGAAGGGAGAAATATTCAAGGAAATAGCTTAAAGAAAAAAACAATCAAAAATTCTGTAAACTTTGGACATGCTTTTAGAAATGTGAAGTGCTCTGGAAAGTCTTAGAAATAGAAATGAACAAGTAGAAGAAAGAAATTCAGAGCTCAAAGAAAAGGTCTTCAAATTAACCCAATCTGACAAAGACAAAGAAAAAACAATAAGAAAATATGAACAAAGCCTCCGGTAAGTTTGGGATTATATTAAACGACCAAACAAAGAATAATCAGTGTTCCTGAGGAAGAAGACAATCCTGAAAGCTTGAAAAGGTCGTCGGTAAAGCCTAAGTCCTGTCCTCTTGCTCTTCTCCCTGGGCAGCATGAGCTTCACCACTCGCTTCACATTCTCCACCAACTACCAGTCCGTAGGCTCCCGTCCAGGTTCCCAGCTACAGTGCCAGGCCAGTCAGCAGTGCAGCCAGCGTCTGTGCAGGCGCCAGGGACTCTGGTTCCAGTATCTCTGTGTCTCGCTCCACCAGCTTCTGGGGTGGCATGGGGGCCAGGGGCCTGGCTGCAGGGATGGCTGGGACTGTGGCAGGAATGGGAGGCATCCAGAACAAAAAGGAGACCATACAAAGCCTGAATGACTGCCTGGCCTCATACCTGGACAGATCGAGGAGCCTGGAGACTGAGAACTAGAAGCTGGAGAGCAAAATCCTGGAGCATCTGGAGAAGAAGGGACCCAGGTCAGAGACTGGGGCTATTATTCAAGACCATCAAGGACCTGAGGGCTAAGATCTTTGTAAATACTGGCCTGCAAGCCCAGATTGCTAGCTCTGGGTTGACCGTGGAGGTACCTGCCCCCAAATCTCAGGACCTCACCAAGATCACAGCAGACATCTGGGCTCAATATCACGAGCTGGCTCGGAAGAACCAAGAGGAGCTTGACAAATACTGGTCCCAGCAGATTCAGGAGAGCACCAAAGTGGTCACTACACAGTCCGCTGAGGTTGGAGCAGCTGAGATGACGCTCAACCAGCTGAGACGTATGGTTCAGTCCTTGGAAATTGACCTGGACTCTATGAGATCAGCTTGGAGAACAACCTGGGGGAGGTGGAGGCCTGCTACACCCTGCAGATGCAGCAACTCAATGGGATCCTGCTGCACCTGGAGTCAGAGCTGGCACAGACCTGGGCAGAGGGACAGCGCCGGGACCAGGAGTACGAGTCCCTGCTGAACATCAAGGTCAAGCTGAAGGCTGAGATTGCCACCTACTGTTACCTGCTGGAAGATGGCAGGGACTTCAGTCTTGGCGATGCCCTGGACAGCAGCAACTCCATGGAAACCATCCAAAAGACCACCACCCGCCAGATAGTGGATGGCAAAGTGGTGTCTGAGACCAACGACACCAAAGTTCTGAGACATTAAGCCAGCAGAAGCAGGGGACCTTTTGGGGAGACAGGCCAATAAAAAGTTCAGAGGTCTGAAAAAAAAAGCTTGGAAAACATTTGGGGGAATAATTGAGGAAAATTTCCCTGGCATTGCTAGAGACCTAGACTAGCGGGAATTTTGTGGGGAATTCATCACAAAAAGATTTTTGCCTAGGCATATCATCATCAGGTTATCCAAAGTTAAGACAAAGAAAAGAATCTTAAGAGCTGTGAGACAGAAGCACCAGGTAACCTATAAGGGAGAACCTATCAGATTAACAGCAGATTTCTCCACAGAAACCCTGCAAGCTGGAAGGGATTGGGGCCCTATCTTCAGCCTCCTCAGACAAAACAATTTTTAGC